TTTTTTTGTTAGTAGACTTGGCAAGATCAAGTACCGTGGAAGCTAAAGAATCTATTACCTATGAAATGGACACATACTTCAATTTTATAAAATTGAAATCCAAAGCGACAAAACAAATACATTTAGTGTGTGTGCGGGGGGAGGGGGATACACCTATCTGAAGCTAGTGAAATACTTTTTTTTATTTACAACCTAAAAAACTAGGAAATTCAACTTCAACTTCGCTAAACAATCATCACAATTAGTTGTATTACTCAGTCAAATACAATAACAAAATATTAAGCCAGTTCAAAACCGGAGTATGCAAGAGAAATTACAGAGGTACACGTGGTTTGTAACATTGGATTTTTTTAAACAAGTAACTACAACCAACCGAAAGCAACCCATGTGTCTTGTAAACGTAACATACAATTGATAGTACGCATCCATCACTCATGATATTGTACGTAATAAATGTACAAATGTGACATGAGGCCAAAATGTAGAATGGGAAGGCTGGTCTTCAGTCTTTAAACTTAGCTAGCCACGATCACTAACCCAAACATACCACAATAATCCTTACACCGAAACAACATAATCCACTATCATACCTCAGAGACCATATGAAGTTGAAGTAGCAAGCTACATTAACAATGAGTGTGTCTAGGACAAGATAGTTTTGTTTTAAAGCTCATCCTTCTTCAGACTGGTTTTACATTTATAGTCGTCATCCCAGAGATAAAGTGTGATATCAAGGGTCCAGTCTACCCTTCTAGTTCACCCATAGGTAAAAAGAGAGAAGAGATGGCTTCATGTTCAATGATAACAATGCGGGGTGAATGCTAACAGACTCTCTAGAATTTGAAGCCTTTCTTTAAATCACACTTCCACATACAGTTGGCAAGACTGCGTAAATCAAAACAAGTTCGTAAGATCAATCACTTCTGTTTTGCACTTATTCGATTTCCTTACCAACCACTTACCGTTATGAACAAGATTTTTTATCAAATAACAAAGTCTGTCATTTGAGAATGACATGCGTATCTCTGTGAAACTATGCCTAATTGAGAGCTAGCATAACTGTTAACATTTAAAAAAAAAAAAATCAAATTATTAATAAATTAGGTTTATTTTTATAATATTTTACAATATATTATTCACAAGAGATGTCATACGTGATACAGACTTGGGCGATCATGTCTCTTTCGATTCATGACTGAGAAGAATAAGATTTTCCCGCAATAGGTTGCCGTTTCTTTCTGCGGTAGACTAGTTGCTAAGACTATAGAATCTCAGTCTGTCCTGTTAGTCAATCCATAGTTAAGGAAGGAGAATACATATCTTTCCCAAGGGCATTTGCGCATAAGTGAATGCAACTTGAATTCGAACTCGTCTCTGCGATTTCACATCTCAAACCGCTTTACACCACAAACAAAAAGCACATCCAATTTAATACGCCTCTTCGAAAAATGTATATTAAAATATGTTTAAATGTCTTCTTTGAAGTTAAATTTGTTTTATTTCAAAGTAAACGTTAATTAGCCTAACAGTAATCCGTATTAAAATAAAAAATAATTTCCGTATGTAAAAAAATAAGATTTTTAGGCATTTTTAAAACATTGGCAAATTCACTCATTCATTTTTGTCGAACAGCCACATAGACAAAAAATGTAAACAGAAAATTTTAAAATCTCTTAAAAATTCATCAATTATTAGTTTTTTTTTTATGTCCAAATCTGAAAGAAAATGTTTTATCATGCAAGCTAAGCACCAACTGCCCGAAAATATTTTTTGAGTTTTAAATTATTTTTGATAAGGTTCGGGATGATTTTTGTTTTCACCGAAATAAAATCTTCAGAGATTTCTTTAACTGTAAAAACATTTCGAACACACCCTAAGTTAAAAAAAAGTACCCACAAGATATCGAAGGGGGGTTGAAATTGACCCCTAAAAAATATTTCCGCAGTTTTTTTATTCAGTACACAATTTGATGAATCATTAATGAATAAGTACTGAAATTTTCGTTTGAATCGGATTTTTTTTTTGTCCACATTTTTCTTTTTTAAACTGGGTTAGCGATATTTTGGTTTTATTTCAGAAAAAAAAAAAGCCGCATACTTTGGTGGTACTAACACAGCCCGACAGGATGAACAGGTACATTGGGAGATAGTTTGAGTACGCCTGTACGAAGGAGATATCAAATCTAAATATTTTTGAAAAATCAGCAAATTAAAAATACTTCACTTCATTATGTATTTATTTTCTCGTAAAGTATAATTTGGAGCAGTTTTTCACGAAGTTGTATGAATAACACTAGTTAGTAATAAAAATAAATTAATTACTGAAATTTTAATTGTTACATTTGATCTTCTTATTGTAACTGAACGAGTGTCTATACACTTGGAACACTCTAAAAACTGATTGTCGGAAGACAGGCTCAGCATTATCAGCTGCTGAGCGAGTTAACGAGTCCTGTAACATTGAATTATACTAGTAATTTTTATTAGGTATATCTTCCTTTTAGTTTTAAATTCAAATACTCGTACTAGAGTTTAATTTAGTCTAGAATTGAAAAGTTGACTTACTAAAAGTAAAATAATTCCATCCCCTATCCATTTAGTAAATTAAAAATAATTTACCTTGACATCATCCAAATTGGTTTTTTCATGGTAAAGACAAATAAAAAGAAGTAATGTTTTTGACAATTTTAAGAAACGGTAAACACTGAAAAAAAAAAAAGAAGATTCAAAAGTTTGTTGGTAAAAAATAAAATAAAACTACTAAGGTCAAAAAAAAGATTCATGATTTTTTTAGTTAGAAATATATTTCTGCAAGAATTTGGTTTCCCACAATATTCATAGAAATGTTATTTCCCCAAGACAAGAGTTGACTAACCATTAATTTTTTCTAAGATTGTATGATGTGATGCCTTGTTGTGAGGGTCATATTCATATGGTTAGCAAGCCGGTCTCTATGGAGTAGCGAGTGCGATCTTCGCTGTGTGGCCTTGTATCAAAGTTAAATTAGATTTAGTTTTAGTTTTTTCTAAGATTAGAAACATTAGTAAATTCGCAAAACACTATAAAAATAATTCCCTGGAAATTAGAGACACATTATTGTCCATTACAACATGTTTAACGTCCAACCAAGTATCTTTTGGATTTGGAGACATGCAGACGACAGTGAAACTTAGAATGGATGTCACGACTATTGTCATTGTTTTGCTTTTTTTTTTAAGCGTCAATTTTCTAGCTTTACTTTAAAAAAAAAAAAAAAGATACTTACGCAGTATTAGTAATATTTGACCGAAAAATTTGGGCAAAAAAGGTATTTAAATCGATGAGCTCATCCTATCGTAAAAACTAAAAAAAATAACCCAAAGATTCTTTTTCCCCCCTTTTTTTAAATTTCATAAAGAAAATAAGTACGTAAAGAAGAGTAAAGAAAGGGAATGGGGATATTTTTGTTGACAGCCACTTTGACACTGCTTTGTTTACGGACAGATTATTAGGTTGTGCAGACACCTGCCAGTTTTTAAGTTTCGGGCAATTATAGATTTTCTTTGAAACTGTACAATTAGGATAATAAATAATAATCAGTAGAATTTAAACCGGTAATCACAGAAAACAAAACATTGTAGAAAAAACATTCGCTTCTTAGTGATGGAAAAAAATGAATTTATTTAATTTATTTATTCTTTAAAATTTCCAGATGATTCAGGCACAAACCCTTATTTTTTCTTAAGAAATGCAAAAAAAATGATAACTTGATTTACTTAAAAAAAAAAATAAATTTAAGAACAGCAAATATTTTGTAATCCGCTTTGCTTTTTTTTTTTTTTAATGATTCCACTTTATTTTGAAAAAGACTGAATACAATTAGTCGATTTTTTAAAAGTATTTCAATTGTAGCAATGTCTGGAAAACTTACGCGCGACAGTAAAAACGAAGAAAGAAAAGTAACAAAAACAACAGCCATTCTACTATACATACCCAGCAATAGTGTGTGTGCGTTTTGATAATCTCCTTCATCCTGTTAAGGATTTTTTTTTATTTAAATACATTTTTAACATTGGGTTCAATAGAGCTTTTACAAATGCTGTGATAGTACTTCATGGCAAAATAAAAATCAAGATGTTATTTTTATGTTTTACTTAGTTTAAAACTTTAAAGTTTATCTATTCTTTTTTTTTATCATCAAACAAAAAAAGTTCAAATTTCACTCGTCGTGCTTTGGGTATCGTGAATCTTTTAGCAACAAACTGAAAATTAGTGATATATAGTGATTTTTTTTTTTTTTTTTTAACTAAGTTTGCAACATAAACTTTGTTTAAAAAAAAAAAAAAAAAAAAAAGAAAAGATTTTTCAATTTCCAGTGACTGACTATTTTGAAGATATATTGTTAGGTAGGAGGTAATAAACGTGGTCGGATTTTTTAATTGCATCTTATTCTTAGCAAATCTGAAAAAAAGCTGTAAGAAAGTGCTTTTATAATTCTAATTTTTAATTAAACCGTATGAAAAAAAAATCAAAGGATTAAAGTTCGAGATATCAAAATATATGTCTCTATTCAATAATTCAATTCATTGACGATCGTGTGTAGTTGTACTATTTTGCAAACAAAAAAACTAAAAAATGAAAGTAGCATTTCTTTTTTTACAGTGTAACTAGCCGACTTTTCAGCACTTTTTTTTCTAAAGTTATCTTTGATTGAGAAATTGCTTTCTTTGTAAAAGTTAAAACATCACTCCAATATAATATAAAGCTTATTTTTAAAATAAAAACAATGAGTTCAACGGGAAAAAAAATGAAAAACAGTTTTGTTTATAAACTTCGTTTACAAGAAAAGAGTCTATTTAAAAAAGAAAATTTACTAGAAAAACTCCTCCTGTTGTTTACAGGCCATATTCGTCATTCATAAAACTAAGAAATAAGAAAATAAAAGTAATAAAAAACACATGACTTAAAAGGGAAGTCACGTAGCAATTTCTTTATGGAAGTTTGAAATAAATATTTACGTACCTTTGTCCGCCCGTTTATGTTATAGGACCCTAATTTGCCCTTACATAAAAGGACTAGCCTATCAACACACTCCATAAGCAACTTAATATTTTCACAATTTTCCTCGTTACCATCCATCCACATGATCATATCACCACGGATGGTGGGGTTATTCAAAGGTCCGTCCGTATTTGCAGAGCTAACAAGTTGGCCTTGCGTGAAAACCCCAGAATCATAAAATCTTTTCACCTCATTCAAAATTTTTAGGCCTTGTTCCTCACCAAGGAAATTATCTACAACACATATTCCGTATTTATCCATACATTCTATGACATAATGGTGCAGTTCTTGTATCCTTTCCGTGAGAGCCTGGTTGAGTTCGACTCTCGGCGCATCACGGACCATAATAGGATTACTGCTAACACTGTTTGCATTTTCTCGGTCACACGAACTATCATTATCAATCTTTGGAGCTTGCGATTTGTTTTTCCTCTTATTGGAAGATTTATGCGAACCAGATCTCTTGCCGGGTTGATTCTGACGTCTTTCAATTGCAGTACCCTCATGAACAGGGACTGATACATTTTTATCGGTTGTGGCCGCCACTGTCACTTTTGTAGAAGAATTAGTTGTATTTGGAGTTTGGGATTTCTTATTCTTATCTCCGCGACTCTTAGAGGAAACTGAACGCCCTGATTTCGTGGTTTTGTCGTAAGATTCCTCTTGAAAGCGATTGTCGCACACTTTTACTTCTGATAAGCTATTATTCGCACTTGGTCCAACTACAATGCTTTTACTTGCATTAGAGCCAGGTTGTTGTTGTTCCGAATTTTTCGAAACAGCTTTCCGACACGACAGCTTGTGAACCTTCCAGTCCGTCTTCTGATGTTCATGACTACAATACCAGGCATTCCTGCAACCTGCACAAAGTGACAGGTTTTCTAAAGTGCCACACAGTTGACAAATCTTGTTCGTTATTGACATTTTCACACGTTGTCAGCCATGTTCGAACTGAAGACGAAGCTAATCTCTTGTATTTACTTTCGTATTTTTACTGTGACTACGTATTATTTTTATACACTGTCCTAATTCAGTTGTAATCTTGAAAATATCTTATGTCAAATAATGCGTACTATAATATTAGAAATATTAATTACTTAAGTATAAAATACGATATCCATTTAAAAATGAAATAATACGCAGTAGGCGATACTAAGAAGGCGCTGTCACCTACCTTGCCCTCTTTAGTTGTTGTTATTTACTAAGCTCAGATTAGTTTGGCACAAGGACACAAGTATGGGATATATCCATGACTTCGATTCTCACCGTTTAGTTGTAAATGGTCAACAAACAGATAAGCTCGCCAATCATTATCCCATGTTGAGGCGCCTACGTTAAACTCTTTTTTTTAGTGTTTATTCTTCTTAACATTTATTTAGTGTTCATTGTTTACTTTTTTGCAATATCTATTTTACATCATCATCGTTAAAAAAACAGCAACAAAAAAGTAAGGAAAAAGAAATTATTATTTATTTATTCAGAACACGTAGAAAATATGAGTCATTTTGATGTCTCTCAGGGTTAACTATTGATATATAATTCAATAATCAGGGTCAACTCAAAGCTTTAAAGAGGCGCCATTGTCAAGTTATTTTCAGGCACGTCAAACAAAACAAATCCGAAAATGATTTTATTTACTTTTTTTGCAAAAAGCTTTTTTTGGCATTATACTTTCACAATTTATATTTTCAAAGAATCATTTAAAAACCCTAACGCTACATGTTATTTTTATTATCTATGGTTTCTTTAAATAAAATTTTGGTAATTTGTAAAAAAAATATACTTTATTTTTTAGTGTTTTTAATTGAAAAAATACTTTGAATGATTGAAAAGAAAGACTTAACTGAATTTACAAAACATTAATGTTAAAAATAAAGCTATTTAGATGTTTTCTCTGCCCCCCTTATTTTTAAATTAATGAAAAACTGATGAGAAATTTTACCTATAAGAAAACCTTTGGTACAAGGCCATGAATATCGGGCGCTTAGTGAGGATCAAATTAATTACTAATTGATCAGCTTACCAATATTTATATTTTTCGTTCAATTTAAAAAAATAAAATAATACATCATCCCAAAATGTGGCACGTGACTATATTTTTGATCATAATTTTTTTGGGTGTGGATAAAGTTGCTCGTTGCATTCACTGCTTTAAACGAAATTCTTCATTAGCACAACATCGCCATTTATTCTGAAAATTTATTTAATATCATATTAAACTTTTCTATTTAAAACTTAATACAATTATTATAAAATTGTATTAGTTTTTTTTTTGTCATTTTTGTAAACTAAAAAGTTTGTGGTGGATAACAACAATAGATTTTTTTATTACAATTTTTAAAAATGTTATAATAAATTTATGCGATGAAATATATTTACAAAACTTCTATCTATCCTGTGTAGCAGTTGCCTCCGGGCACAGGAACGAAGCGGCAAAAAATGCATATTGGCTTAGCGGCAACACGAGCCCAGGGTGCTAAGTACCTGGGGGCGCCTGTTATATGACTGAAAAATTTTTTTTAAAAACTTACGAATTACAAATAGAAAAATGGGAACATTAATAAAAAAAAAAATCCCCAATGTGCAATCAAGGTGCCTGAGACCTAATAAGAAAGGCAAGTTTATCCGAAAGAATTCTGGTAGCCAAGCTGAAAGGAAAACCTTTCAACGTAGCTATCATAATATTGTATGCACCGACAGCACAAAGTAAGGAAGAAGAAATAGAATCTTTCTACTCCATGCTAGACAACGCCAAGGCTCATTGCAAATAACAAGAAGCCGTAATTATCATGGGAGACCTGAACGCCAAAGTAGGCAGAGAGATGGCAGGCAATTCGGACTAGGAACCCGTAACGAACGTGGAGAAAAATGGGTCTAATAGTGCACGGCCAATGACCAGGTAATAGCGAACACATGATTCCAAGAATATCCGAGACGATTATGGACATGGTTAGAACCAGAAGGAGAAACTAAAAACCAAATTGACTACATAACTATCAACAAAAGCTTCAAGAATTGCAATACAACAAACTCGTGAGTGACTTGAACCTGAGGAAAATATATGGACAGTGCGAAGAGTAGATACGAGGGACAAAATGGAAATGGAAACTTGAAATGGGGCACACTAAGAGAAGCTTTAGTGACATCAGCAAACAGTATCATCCCAAAGGTGAATCGACGAAGAAGAAAAAAATGGATCACTGATGAGATTCTCGACATGATACAAAGGAGGCAGAAAACTCTACCAATATACGGAACGAAATACAGAAGAATACACTACGAAATAAGGACCAAATGCAGACAGGCTAAAGAAGAGTGGTTAAACAAAAATGTGCAAAGATTACCAAAGGAGATATGCATAAATTAGAGAACGAACAGGACAGAAGGCTTGCTCGTCAACGGGCTGCATAAAATCCAAGGACGGAAACGAATATATTGGAGAACTCTTCCACGACGAAAGAGAAGAACCGGCAATGCACAGAATTATCGACGTGTCTGAAATTCTAAAAACCGAAATAGAAGCGGCACTGGCCAAATTGAACAGAAACAAGGCGGCAGGGCAAGACGGAATTGTAACATTGATGCTGATAGCCTTAGATTATTTTGGCATAGACAAAATTACTGAGATAATAAATAAAATCTACAACAGCAGGGATATACCGGAAGATCTAAGCAGATCTATTTTCATAATACTGCCTAAGAAACCAGGCTCAACCAATGTGAACTCAGTCAGCCTAATGAGCTACATAACAAAACTAATCATCCGTATTCTGATGAACAGAACGCGCTGCAGAATCAAGCTAGAAATAGAATAAGAACAATGCGGATTCGTTAAAGACAGAGGAACAAGGAACGTGATAATTATGCTCAGAATGTTATCAGAAAGAGCAAGGTAAATGTAGAACGTGTACCTGTATTTTATAGACTACGCAAGGGCATTCGACAAAATACGCTACAAAGATTTGTTGGAGCTGCTCAGCAACCTTGACATATTTGAGAAAGACATTAGAATAAAAAAAAACAACTTCTATTAGCAATAAACCGCTAGCATAAAGATAAAATATGAGTTCAGGAGATAGCAAAAATAGAAAGGGGTGTAAGGCAAGGATATGTCTTCTTAACGGACCTATTCAACCTATACAGTGAGGCAATTCTGAGATAACTGGAAAGCCTACCAAGATTTATCACTGGCGGCCACAATCTTAACATAGGATACGCAGATGAGTCAGTGCTGATAGCAGACACAGAAAAGAAACTACAAAATCTCCTACAGAATGTAGTGAAGGAGAGTGAGAAGTGACTAAGCATAAACTACAAGAAGACAGAATGCAAGGTCATCAGCAAAAAGATGAGCGCGAAATGCGATTTACCGGTCGCGGACATTAAAATCAAGAAGGTGCGGAAATTTAAATATCAAGGAAGTGTTCTGACAGAGGATGGTAAGTGCGACGCTGAGGTCCGAAGACGTATTGGGATCGCCAAAGACGCATTCCAAAAGATAGGCAGAGTATTACGAGGGGTTTGTTGGTGACAAAGAAAATAGTACTGAACGTTATCTTTGTCCTACTTTACGGCTGCAAATGTTGGACGGTCTCCTCAAATATGAAGAGACTCGAGGCAACAGAGGTGTGGTTCTACAGAAGATTGCTAAGGATACCATGGACTGAACATGTGAGCAAGAGTGAGGTTTTGGAGAGGATGCAAACAAAAAAATCTCATCAGGAAGAGGCAGCTGAAATTTCTGGGACACGTAATGTGAAAAGAGGACTTGGAAAATTTGATACTCACAGGGCGGCTAGAGGGAAAGAGGGACAGGGGAAAGCAACGCGGGACATACTTGATGGGGTTAAGCAATTGGGTGGCAGAACAGAGGATGGTAGAAATAGCAGAAAGTCAAAGTTTATTGGGAGCTACAAGGGACAGGAGTAAATGGAGAGCCATGATCACCTACGTCAAAAAGGATACGGCACATAAAAGAAGAAGCTGTGTCAGGCTGTGTCGCAAAAGAAATTCACGGATACTCTTGCTTTCAGTTTCACGAGAACTTTAACTAAATGAGTTACTCTTTTCTCCCTTAATCTATTTTTCTTTTCACTATACGAAATTTTTATGAATTATACCTTCCAAATGCCAAGAAAAAGGAAAATGTCGTTAGAACAAAAAAAGAGCACTGATAATAATATCGGTCCTACTAAGTGGATAATCATCTTCGCAGATGAGGGCTTACGGTCATAACACGTTGAAACACCGGTTCTCGTAAGATCATCGAAGTTAAGCAATAAGGAGCTTGGTCAGTACAAAGATGGGTGGCCGCTTGTGAATACCAGGTACTGTAAGCTTGCTTGTGCGGGTGGTGTAATGGATAACAGATCGGAGAGCCGAGTTTCAATTCCAGTCATGTTCATTATATTCACTTATTACACCTCCTCTCCCACAGCTATGGGTTAATTAATAGAACGTGTATCAGTAAATCATTATTATCTCCAAAAAGGTCTTACAATCTAAAAATATATTCTGGCTTTAAATAACCTACAAATGATTTATTAAGACGTAAAAAAATAAAACAAATCAATCACGGATGAAGAAGAGACTTGAAGCAACAGAAATATGTTTCTACCAAACGATACTGAGAATACCATCGACTGAACATGTGAGCAACGACGAGGTTTTTTGGAGAAAATGGAAGCAAAAAGGCCACTTATAATTCTAATCAGAAAGAAATAGTAGAAATTATTCGGGACGGGAGGACTTGAATTTGACACTCACATGACATTGGAGGCAAGAGGAACAAAGGAAAGCCGCGAGTAACCTACATAACGAACTTGTGTAAATGGGTGGCAGAACAGGGATCAGGACAAATAGATAATGATAAAACATAATATTTACAAAAGACGGAAGTTGTAAAAAGCGATGATCACCCACGTCCTGAAGACACATAGAAGAAGTGGTTATATTTACGCTGTAACGTCGGCCTTACTGTTAACAAGAAAAAAGTGGCAGTGATAAAAATCAAAAAACAAATAGAGATAAGACGTGACTGAGATAAGTAAAAGAGTTTTTCCCAATGATTTACAGTTCCCTGTATCATGTATCAGTTATGGGAGATTGTTAGTTAATTCGGGGTATAACAAAAGGTTGTAGTCGAGATAGATATACAGAGAAAATCAATGCGCATATGTAGTCGAGTGAGATAGACTCGTGGGAGAGATATTCCACGAATTATCACATTGTAGTAGTCGAGTTCCACATCTATAAGATATACGTGGAATTTCCACTGACGTCGCATCGTTGAATATTTGAGCTTAACAACTTAAACAAAATATTGAAATAACAATCATAATTATGAACGCGGGTTATTATTTAAAGCAGTAAGAGAATAAAAAGGAAAAGATTAAAAAATACATGGCTTTACTCACTGTATGCTTATTTATACACTTTATAAATAACAAACAAGATACATATGTATATACACAAAGGAAAACAAAACATATAGAAAACAAAATATATAGAAATTTATAACTAACATTAAGCTATAACATTTCTTTATAAACGATATTCTTAATATTATCTGTGTCTGTCTGTCTGTCTGTCTGTCTGTCTGTGTGTGTGTCTCTCTCTCTCTCTCTCTCACAAACCAGCCAGCATCACAGGTATATATTTTCATCTTCGCAATTAAAACAGATTTTATTTATCTGATATAAAGGCAGGGTGTAAGACATCGAGCGTTTTGTTTTTCTGAGTGCGATGTTTTCAAAACAAGGTAGTGACATGAAAAACATCAAAGACTAGGGAGGATTTTGAAGCAGACATAAAAAAAGAAGGGAACTTACAGGACAGAAGACATGCCCATGAACAGGCTGCATAAAATCCAAGGACGGAACGCTCATATTAGAGAAAGAAACAAATTATTCAGCGCTGGAAGGAATAACAAAAATAATCATCCGCATTCTGATGAATAGAACGCGCAGCTGAATCAGGCCAGAGATAGGACAAGAACGGTTCGGGTTCGTCAAAGACAGCGGAACAAGCAATGCGATATTTATGCTTAGAACGTTATCAGAAAGAGCAATACAAATGCAGAAGAACGTATACTTTTATAGACTACGCAAAGGCATTCGACAAAGTACGCCACTAAGATTTATTAGAGCTGCTCAGCAACCTTGACATAATCGGGAAAGACATTAAAATAATTAAAAATCTCTACTGGCAGAAAACCTGCATACGGATAAAAATGATTTTAAAAGATATACAAAAATAGAAAGGGCGCAAGACTAAGATGTGTCTTCTCAACGGACCTATTCAACCTATACAGCGAGAATAGAAACCCTACCAGGATTCAGCATTGGCAGCCACAAACTTAACAACATAAGATATGCAGATGACACTGTGCTGATAGCAGACACGGAAAGGAAACTACAAAATCTTCTACGAAGAAGAGCGAGAAGGGACTAAGCATAAACTACAAGAAGACAGAATGCATGGTCATCAGCTAAAAGATGAGTCCAAAATGCAATTTACAGGTCGGGGACGCTAAAATCAAGAAGGTGCGGAAATTTAAATATCTAGGAAGTGTTCCGACAGAGGACGGAATGCACGAAACTGAGGTCCGAAGACGTATTGGAATGGCCAAAGACGTTATGTGGTATCTGTCTTCCTGTATGGCAACGAATGCTGAGAAATCTCCTCAAAGTTAAAGAAGTGACTCGAAGCAACAGAAATGTTGGATGCTAAGGATACCACGGACCGAACATGTGAGCAAAAACGAAGTTTTGGAGAGAATGGAAACAAAGAGGAATCTTATACTTAAGATCAGGAAGAGGCAGCAGAAATTCCTGGGACACGTAATGAGGAAGGAGGACTTGGGAAATCTGATACTCACAAGACGGATAGAGGGAAAGAGGGACTGGGGAAAGCAACGCGTGACATACTTAATAGGCTTGAACAAGTAGATGACGAAACAGGATCTAACAAAAACACAAAACTTATTAAGAGCTACATGTGACAGAAAGAATAATAGGATAATGGCTTGGAATTGGAAATCGGAGAGCAGTGTTCCACTTCTAGTCAGGTTCGTTAAATTCATTTACGCACAAATACCCTTGGGAAAAATATGAATCCCCCTCTCCCCCAGTTATAGATTAATTAGTAGGACTTGTATCAGTGAGTAAATCATTATTATCTCCAAAAGGTTCTTACAATCTAAAATATATTCTGGCTTTAAATAACCCGCAAAAGATTAATAAGCCATAAATAAAGAACTAACAAACAAAGTCTAAGGTGTAAATATTCTTTGAACTGTTAAAGTTCATTTACTAATTTGTGGTCAGTATCATCTTTTTTATTGGAATGAAATATCGCCGAACTTCACAAATGGAAACACGAGACTGGATCTTTCATATGTAATATTACCGTTTATTGCACTCCTTACTTTGTCATTGTGTGTGTGTGTGTGTGTGTGTGTGTGTGTGTGTGTGCGTGCGCGCGCGCGCGCAATCATCCGAACGCGAACTCTATTTGTTATCGCAGTTTCCAACTGACTCAGAATAATTAGGTCTCATCCATTGAATGACTTTTTGCATGACACCATTGCAGTTCAATGCTACAAATCTGCTCTGTTAGAGTCTACCATTGACCACATTCAACACCCCCCTACCGATGTCTTCGCCGTAACTCTGGTATGTGTGGCTTCCAAGTGTTATGCCTTGTCAAACGGTAAGCCATGATTTGGTCCCAAAGGACCACATACGTTTTTGAGTTCAGAGTTGTCCGTCTCCTAGACTGATTGCCAACAAAGTTTAGAGAGCACAATCTGCCTTGGTATTTAATCCATAGCTCTGGGGGGTAAAAAAATGGATTCATATTTTTCCGAAGGATAAGTGGATCTAACGAACTCTACTAGAATTCGAACTCATTCCCTGGCCCAACTCCATGCAATGCTCTTCTAGAGTGTATCAAACTATTAAAAAATATTAAATTTAGAAACATAACATTTCCCATTTTCTTTAAAAAATGAATTTTCTCGCTTTTTATCCGCTTGGCGTACAGGCTCGTGTAATCTTTTTGTAACCGTTAACAAACGAAAGTAAAGATAACAGCAGAAGATAATAACCTTAAAATACTTATTAAAAATAAGGTTTGGAGTTTTATATTTGTTTTGTTGAAACACTTCTTCCTAAATGACTGTTAAATGACATATTCCAACTTTTTTTTTAAGTACATGCAAGACGATAATGTCATTGTGACACAAGGAGTGGCTGGGAGTAAAAGAGAATGTGAAGACTTTAGTGAGAAGAAAGAACAATAAAAGAACAGTTCTCAGGAAGACAGAAGATAGCGATTAGCATTGCATTTAATTTTTTTTTTTTTTAGGCAATCAAGAAACCGGAAGAGACTTCCACAGGCAAGAAAAGAAACTGTTAAAATAAAACTTACGGTTATATCTAGGTAGTTCAACAATAAAACGGGAACTTTAATAACTCAGTACTGTGGCAGTGAGCACCTTACTGTATGAATAATATTTTGTGGGTAGAGCAAACGAGGTAGAAATACTAAATAAATGAAAATAAGTCTGGGGATACAGAAGGTTGAGAACACTATAAATGGAAAAAGCAATCAAAGGAACCGGTTAATTAGAATGTATAACAACGCTTGATTTATTGCTTTGAGATTGGAATTAGTGATGGTCGAAACCCGTATTCCTAATTTAGAAGACAGAATTTTCGAATGACCGAGCGAACAAATGATCTTATTATTTCCTATTCATTCAAACAAAATACTTGTATTTTTCATCGCTCGATCTTACTTCGAAAAATAAAGAAATATATTTATTTATTTATTTATTTATTTATTTAGCGGCCTCGGCTAGCGAAGTAAGACATCTGGTTTTTGTCAAGAGAATCTTCTTTGTCTGAAAACACAAAACAAAACAAAAACAAAACAAAAAACAAAACAAAAAACAAAAACGCCTACGTGACAATTCTAGTGTGTGAAGACTTTAGAAACAGAAAGGTCACTAGGAAAGACGCCCCGGTCAGTAAGGCCCGTATTGTCCCTTGTCCCTTGAGATACGGAGCTACTTCCCGTCGAAGTTAGAAGGACGGAGTTAAGTTAAAAAAGGAAAACAATACTGACTCAAGAGAAAGAGCGGAGAAAAAAGAAATCGCTACTATTGTTAGACTAACCGTTCATTAAAAAAATAGTCCTGAAAGGACAGGGATCCTTGTGAAGAGATTTGCGATCGATCCAGTTTCAAACAAAAAGGAGACAAAATTGTGTAGTGGTTGTCAATAATAAATAGTTTGCTATTATCAGAACAGCTTTGTGGTCTGAATTCGTTA